AAGGATCGTGTTTGAAGGATCGTGTGATCACTTTCCAAATCTGAAATTTCGATTCTATGTTTGGGTTATACGAAATCTAGATTATGAGGATAATCCTTCAAGTAACTATTTGATATCAAGATACTGATATGAGACACAAACTAGGGTAGTATTAAATGTTGATTTTATCCCGCCAGAAGCACTGCCACTTGGACTCCACTAGGGCACGTCATTTGATCGAATTGAAATCAAACTTGTTTTACACAAGTGAGCATTCCGTACCTCCTAATTTGTTTAAAATTAAGACTTGAACTTCATTGGTATCTATAATTCCATTACACTAGTGACACTAAAATCACCAATAATATTAAAATGCTAATTGTTTATAAAAAAAAATTAAGAAAAAATATAGAGACAGTTTGTAGCACAATCAAACGCCTCCCTATAAGGACGTGATACCGACTGCCATGTTGGTGACTTGAGTTTTTATATATATATATATATATATATATATATATATATATATATATATATATATATATATATATATATATATATATATATTTGTGAATCAGACACATATAATTACATCTGAATCATGTTAAAAGCTCTTAGTGGAGAATGGAAAGGAAAAAAGAAAACGGAAAGTTTGTTGATTTAACGTGGATTAAAGCCTAACATGAGCTTGTGAGACTATTGAGAACCTTTGTGTGTGTATTAACTAAAGAAAAAAGAGACATGAACCCTAATTGTAGGAAGCCTAATCAACGCTGCCAAACATTGTCTTTAATACTTTACAGAAGGTGGGCCACTTGATGGAAACTGGATACTCTATCGCTATCTGTATCTAGGTTACATATAATTTTGTTTGTTGTATATATTGAGAGCTTAATCGCATTCAATGTTTAAACAGGAAAAAAAATAGCACACAATAATTGAAACATATAGGTTAATGCTTATTATATTTATATGTTTTTTTAGATTACATAATCAAAGATATGACGTATAAAATTGAAATTAGGGACAAGTACAAATGCATATAATTGTGGCTTCGTCTACCTCTTGAAATTGATAACCTAGAACATAAGGACGAAGGACCAATTATATGAGAAAGAAAGTGTCAGATGATTTATTTGTCTTTTTAGATCATATAAAATGAAAAAAAAATGTTATATTTTATTGATTTTGAAACTATATTTTGTTAGGACATAATGCTGCCAGTCGGTAGTTAATGCTATTACATTTACTTCTTGATAGGTTTTATTATCATTATAATTTTTTTATTTCATAACTTATACCGATTGATAATTGATTTGTGTCTTGTGAAAAGATATTTTAATTTGTTTGGGTATTTCCAAGTAGAGATGTAATCAATCTCACTTTGAATATAACTTTGTATCAAAACTCAATTTTTATTAATGAGTCGAAGGATCGCCGTTGCTCACTGTTTCACGTCTACACATTTTCTTAAGTTTTTGTTATCCATTGATACCACATTTGTGAGGAAAAAAAAAGTTCAATTTTAACACTTGAGCATGACATTTCATCAAAATTAACACATCATCATCATGCCACATCAGAATATAACCAAATTGATTGGTCAAATAATCAGAATTGTAAAACATTTGAAAAACAATATCAAATTTGAAAAAAAAAAAAAAAAAAAAACTCAGTGTTAGATTAAAATTATGATATAAATATAATGACTTTTGTACTATTTACCTCTTCTATTATCATTGTGCACATCTTTTGTTTGTTTGATAACCAATTGCATATTTGTGATTCCAAAATGTAAATATAAGAACAACTTGGATATAAGATAATCATATAACATTTTACTTGATTCCTAATAGTTATCAACTTTATAGACCCTCAAAATAACAAAGAACTCTTTTGTATCGGATATTTTATAAGTTCTTCTTAAATAGCTTTAAGTGGTGTGGTTTTTACTAAAAACGGTAAATGTTATGTACGAAAATAAAAAATAAAAACATGAAAATTCTAGAAACCTGGTTGACCTGGCGGTTGAACCGGTCGAACCATAAATCAATCCGATTTTTTAAACATTGGTTAGAACAAGTGTACAAGAACATGCATATTGAAAGGTAGTTTAAAAAAACAAAAAAAGGAATGTAATTTAAAAGTAAAACATGGATCTATGTTCAAATATCCACAAAAACAAAACCCTTTAAACCTAATATAATACAAGAAAACAACCATAAAATCACGCAAAAGTGTTCAACACAAAGTTTCTTTCTCGCTCGGGCAACCACGCACATGATTCTAACTCATAAACAATTTTGTTGTTTGGTTCCATGTCAACTTTTCTATGCCCATGATATGGTCTAGTCTGGTTGGCAGTGGCTACTTTTGATGGTTTTAACCAAAAAAAAAGCGATGGGCCCACCAAAGATTAGGAATGAGAAAGGGATGATGCATGGTGTGGTTTGGCAATTGACACCATGGAACATCCATGGTGGAAATAAGAAGATAAAAGATTGTACAAAGAATACACAATGAAAGGAAGGAAGGCATTGAGATTTTACAGTGTTGGTGTTGTAGGTGGTGGTGTTGGTTGAATGCCATTGTTTCTCATGTAAGTTAAGAATTGTGAAGGTAGTTCTGCCAAGAGCGATTGAACAACCGAAATCCCTCCACCTGTAAATCAAGAATAAAAAAATAAAAAAAAAACATTTTATTTACTATTTAGGCAAATTATGACCTTAAGAATAAACGGTTAGATGCAAGAAACTGAAAGTCACTTTCACTTATTTGTATTTAGGAAAATTATGCCCTTTAAGACTTAAGAGTTAAATGCAAGAAATAGCAACTTACTTTCCTTTATTTGTATTTAGGCAAACTGACATTAAAAATTAAGGGTTAAATGAATAAATAAATAGCAATTTACTTTCCTTCATTTATTTGTTTATCATCCTACTTTCATTTCTTTCTATTACATTTTTGTACTTTAAAGAAAGAGGTTGCATATCATGTTACCTTGTACATCCCTAAATGGAACAAACTGGACAATATCACGTGATGCAAATTGACCTGTTGAGCTTTCAAGTTTCTCGCCTTTATCCGCATCCAATATCTGCATACGTAAAAAAAAATATACATTGAATATGATTTCAAAAACTAAAATATTCAAACAAAAATCTATATTAGTACCTCCATCTCCTTAAAGTCAGCTCCACCAACACCAACAATAAGGATCGACAATGGCAGATTGGATGCCTTGACAAGGGCATATTTTGTTTCCTGTATATCGGTTATCACTCCATCCTGTGATATCGCCAGTGAAATCATTTAAAAAAAAAAAAAAAAAAAAAAAAAAAAACATTTTCTGTTCAACATATTTTTTGAAATGTGATGAATAATGATATGCATACCGTGATTATTAATAAAACGAAATACTTGTGTTCATTAGCTGCCATTGATTGACTCGCAATATTTGCTGCAGCAATAATTACAGGTCCAAATAGGGTTGGCCCTGCAAGTGAAACGTTAGACAGTGCACTTTCATATGCCATCATAATTCCCGGGATCCCTGACACCTGCCAATACAAGACTTAATCAAAATGCATAAATAAGTGATTATAATAAAATTATTTGTAAAAAAAAAAAATACAGTTGGGTTGGCACTGCTTCCGTTTAGGTTAAAACAATGATTGACAGGACCATCAATTGGGCGTGCTCCAAATCCCCATGAAGGAAACAGCTTGTCATAATCATAATACTGCAGTACATCTCCAACCTCTTGTATTGCCTATCGTTTTGAATAATAATACATTAATAATTATTATAATTATAATAATTAATATTTAATAATAATGAGGTTGCTTCTCACTTTCTGATATGCGTTTGGACGTCCAGAATGGTCAATGTAATGTAAGGAATCGGGGAGGCGAGGGTTTCCATTTGAAGCTGGAAACAGAATTTCACAAGTTGAGAAGATAATCAAACAATGAATACACATTATGATATTATAATTATTTAAAAAAAAAAAAAAAAAGATGCCTGTGAAATCAATGGCCACCATGAAGTTTAATTCACATCCACCAGACAAGTAATCCAGGAAGGAATGATGAACACTTTCACAGAATTTCTCCACAAAAAGTTGACTCTTTAGTACCTGTACCAAAATTACAGTCAAGGGTAAGACGAAAGCACACACACACACACAAATACATGTAGAGAGATACAGAAGGGCAGTTTGGACCTTTGTTTGAGAATCTTTTCCAACAGTAACGGGTATAAACAACTTCTCTCCAATCCCATTAGAAGATAACTTCTCTAAATCCGCAAGTGACTTTTGAACTCGCCTATATGACCCAAAAAATTATAAAATAAAGCAAAATCAGTATTTATATTTTAATTTAAATATATATGAAATCGAAATTAATTATCATCTCTTACCCAAGCAAATCATGCTTTCCATTACCATTAAAATTAAAGCACTCAATAACCAGTGGACTGTCCTGCATACATTCAAATAAAACCAATACAAAAATCAATGTCTTTACTGTCATAAATGTATATATATATATATATATATATATATATATATATATATATTAATGTAAACATACAGTGTATACCTTACTGCCAACTTGTGAAATGTTCAAAAAAATCGGTTTCCAGGTAGGTTTTAGGTTGTTTTTGAGAACCTCTGTTCTGCAAATTGGAACTGTAGTCCCACTCTCTGTGTATTTTGAAATTACTAGAAAAGGGTCCTGAAAAATAATATAAAAATGAGTGAAATTTATTTATAATAATCCAGGAACAGAATAAATGGTTATAAGGTCGTTACACTTTTGGAGAAAAAATCCTTGTTTTCTAAATCTGTGCACTTTAATATCAACTCTGCTGTAGTTTTGGAGACAACTTCTTCTTCTGCGTGAATGGTGAGCTGTCCAAGTTTTTTATGAGTCGACTCAGCAGACTCGGCAATGTTCACAAGCTCTAAGGTGCACACGCGCTTTGAATTAGCCACTATCTACATTGAAATAAAATCATCCTTAAAAGTTGACACATGTCATTGACAATTAATACTCTCAATAAACAAATAGAAGATGTTGCAAAAAAAAAGGCCTGAAACGTGCAAATTGATAAATAGTGAATACCTGAGACAATGCACAAGTGGCCTCACCCAAATATTGCTGATCATCTAACTTAAGTGTCTGCATGCAAAACATAAAAATAGTCATTATGGTAATTTATAGCAATTATAATCTACTTCAAATCATATTTTTGTTGACAAAATAAAACTATGTTGGTGACTGACAAGTAATGGTGTTTTATAGTTCTTAAAAGAGTTAGTTGAGGACAGTATTATGTGATGTACCTTTATGTCTGGGCTATGAAACTGAGTGTCAACATCATAGACACGGAACCTATGATATGATATGAGACAATTACTTGTGTAAACTAAAGATGATAAAGATGTGTGTGTTTGTAAGAAAATAGAAATATGAGGTATTGTCAGTTGTCACTTACAAAAGTGTTTGAACCATCTCAAAATAATAAGTAATTTTAATTTTTGTGATCCATTTGGGATTTAATGAATTTAGAACAACTTCTGTTCGTCCAAGCTCCTGCAAAGAACCATCTCTTCCTTTGGTATATACAATTGCCATAGGATCACTCTATATACAGAGAGCATACGTATGTTAGATATTTATCAAAGAGCTTGATAATCTTAAAAGTAAATTGAAATTAGGGCTTATAAGAAGTGAGAAACTTACCTTGGAAAGCACATCCCTGTCACGCAAGTCTGAAGCAGATAAGGATAGCTGCAAGAATTTCTTAATAACATCAGTATAATAAATGCTTAAGGTAATCAAGCAAACTAATTTAGTTATTACACCCAATGCAAAGCCAAGTAGCCAACTATGCTCTTTAAACCTACAACTACTGAAAATGAACATTGAGATGATGATTGCATCTAGATTATAGGAAGTAATCAACTGCTCATGTTGCTACTTTATAAACCACAACATAGATAACCTGATCCTCAGCTTGCTATATAAAACCTCAATGTGCATCCAACCAATTTATCTTATCTTATCTTTCAACTAGTGTAAAGAATAAAGACTTAAAAGTCGAGTAACCAATCAAGAAACTCAAATCATTTTCTCAGAATATGACTAATTACGATATAACATTAAGATCTCTTAGGCATCGAGAGCATCGATTAGCACTTAGAACTTTTATCATAAGTTCGTAAGATATATTTTGTATTACGGATTATAACAAAATACATTTTTCATTGCTGGCCAGTAATGTCAATATGCATCCAAAATCTTAATTTGAATAACAAATTTACAATAATAAAGAAATACATCGAAATCGGTGAATAAAAACTATATAATTAAAATAAACAAATGTTCTGGTGAGAGAATTGTACAAGAGAGAGAAAGCACCTCGATCTGAGAGAAGAGGCCACGGTAGCCGCTAGATTTGAGAAACCCGTCGACGGCGTCGTTAGAACCATGCGTATCGAGAGCAGAAGAAGTGCCTCCAACTGCAAATTGACTATGGCCACCGCCGGAAAAGCAATTGCCCATGGAACGCCGGCGGGATGAAAGGATAGTGGTAATAGACGGAGCAAGAAATTGAATTGAAATTGCGAAGAGTTGACACTTGACAGAGAGAGAGACGAGAGAGAAAGGGGGAATCTTACAGTTAAGCAAATGAGCGGACCCACTTGTTAATATAAGTTTGCCTTCTATGGATTTTTTTAACATTGTTGGTAACGTGATCGGCGGTTCAATAACGGCTTAAAATAGGTATGAATTATCATTGATTTGTTTTAAATAAGGAGTGGATTAGGTTAATGCGTCGAATAAAAAAGATTAATCCTTTAAAAACTAGTAATGTTTTAGAGAGATCGATGTGGGCAAAGGGTTCCAGTTATTAGTGACATGGTGCCTAATAATGGCGTCATAACAGGAGCAACACCCCTCCTAACCGTTATTAGGTGTTATGTCATAACGTGTTATGGCCATAACGAGAAGTAACGTACGTGATTTCTTGTGTTTTTTGCTTCAACGATTATAATTTTGACCGTTTGAAACAAACGATAACATAATAAAAAAAAAATCAAGTTTTATATATATACTATCACGTAACGTTTATTATTTTTACCTACAAACACATATTTCTTTCAATATTTCAAAACCAAAATATGGATCAATTTGATCCGGCCCATCCGTACAACGATGATAACGACGAAGTCAATTTGTTCGTGAATATGATGTACCGGTATTATACAGACAGCCTATTACAGCCAGATCCAGCTCCACTACTCACACGACGTGCAGCGTTAAATAGAGATCGTGAGGAATGGCATAGACAGCTAGTTAACGACTACTTTGCGGAAAATTATGTTTACCAGTCAAACGATTTCAAAAGAAGATTTCGTTTGCGAAAAAATGACCTTGAAATGATAGTCAACGCTATGGAAGCAAGGATTTGATTTAACTTTTATAATTTACAAAACGTCACTTTTAGATAAAAATAAATACAAATTTTACATATTTAATATTTATTTATGTATCGTTTGTTTCAACTTTTATAATTTATAAAATGTCACTTTTAGATAAAATAAATACAATTTTTACATGTTTAATATTTATTTATGTATGAATTTTTCCAAATGAGATATGATGCTAGAGGCAAATAAGGCTTCACAGGGTTGCAAAAATGTGTTGTTGCTTAAACTTATGGCAATAGGGGAGTCGTCCAATTCTGTTGACGATTATATGAGAATGTCTGAGAGGACCGCACGAGAAACTTTGTATTTATTGGCAATAGGTGTTGTCGAAACCTTCGGTGACCAATACTTGCACAAACCTTCGTTGCATGATATGCAACAACTATATGCGGCGCATGAAGAAATGCATGGTTTTCCAGGTATGCTTGGGAGCATTGACTACACACACTGGAAATGGAGAAATTGCCATGTGGCGTGGAAAGGTCAGTATTCGAGTGGTCATCATGGAGCGCCTTCGTTAGTATTAGAGGTTGTTGCTTCACAATATTTATGGATTTAGCATGCTTTTTTCGGGGTTACGGGTTCTAACAACGATGTCAACGTTCTCGATCAATCACCAATTGACGATCTTTTGTCAGGAAAAGTCTTGGATGCTCCTTTTACAGTGAATGGAAATGAATGTAAGTTTGGGTATTACCTTACAGACGAAATATATCAACAATATTTCACATTTGTCAAGGCGTTTCGACACCCAATAGATCCAATGGACAAATATTTCAAGAGACGACAAGAAGGAGCATGTAAGGACGTTGAACATGCTTTTGGGGTTTTGAAATCAAAATGGCACATAGTTGAACATGCGGCGAGACCTTATGAGTTAGATACTCTACGATATATCATGTATGCATGTATCATAATGCATAACATGGTTGTCGAAGATAAAGGACGCAATATTGCAACGTATTAGCCTACGGAACCAAGACATGTGCAAATTCAACCAGGGACATCGAAATATTTACATAGAGTGGTTGATATTCAAGATCAGCGAAAACACAAGCAACTCTATGAAGCATTGGCATATTACATCTATGTTGGTCACGAAGATGAAAATGAATAGTTTTAGGCCAAAAAATGTAGATTTTATCATCTTCTTTTTTTATTTCTTTTGCTTTTTAGGTTTTTAAATGTTTTTGTGTTTTGTGGTAATTTTTTAATGTTGTTTTTAATTTAAGTTTTATTAAAATTTTATTTTTACTTTTCAAATATAAATAAAAAAAACAAATTCGAAATGTAGAGTAAAAAACATCAAAAAAATAAATAATAAAATAGAAAATAATTGGTGTTATCACATGTTATTAGATGTTGCCTATTTTCACATCGGGTGTTATAACACCCATGTATAAGTAGCATGCTGACATGGCACCTTTTGGGTGTGGTAACATGTAATAACATGTTGCTCATACCTAGTAGTTTTAGGGTACTTCGCACGCAATTATAAAGTACAAAAAAAAAAAAAAAATTAAACAAAATTGTAAAAAGAGTAAATTACATGAATGGTCCCTATGGTTTGGGGTAATTTGCGTGCTTGGTCTCTAACTTGTTTTTTTATTCGGAATGCCCTTACTGTTTATTTTGTTATGCACTTGGTCCCTATTGTTTGTTTTTGTTACGTGTTTGGTCCCGTCTTACCAAAAAAATATTATTATTTAAACAGAGAAAAATAGTGGAGTATGTAAGATAAGGTGATGGAGGTAGGGTTGGGGGTGTGCTTATTTAAATAAATTTTAAAAAAAATCAAGGGAAAATAGTCTTTTCAGGTAAGACATAGATCAAGCGTGTAACAAAAACAAACAATAAAGACCTTCCGCGTTTGCACTTCTCTTTCTCTCTCTCTCTCTCACACACACACACACTCTCATACATACACACACTTCCTCTTCTTCATTGCCAGTTAAAGAAACACATTAAAGCTTAAATAAAAACTTTACAGATACATACACATACCTCAACTCATAAAAAACACACACCTGAAACTCAAAAAAAAAAACCCACACAACTACAACTCAAAACACACATAAACCCACTTTTAAGTTTTAACTCGAACGTTCACATACCCAAGAGCATATACCATGAACGACCCAGATTAATCCCAAAGAACAGTAAGGAAAACATAGTCATAGGATCCATGAACAATTTTAGGATCCATATGAAGAAGAAGATTTGTGTGATTTTCTTTTAAACATCATCAGTCTTTGAGATTGATTTTATTCATGTCGATCTGGGCATCTCTCAAATCGTCTCCAACGCAACCATCATCGACATCAATCTCCATTATGTGAAAATCAAGAATCAATACTATATGCATAGTTTCAGTTACTCCAATAGAGAAATAAACCTAGATCTTGCAATGAAAATTTGCCATTAGACGTAGGTTAACTGTGGTGGCTCCAATAGAAGTTTTTCGGTAGTTCTCATATCTAGCTTTAGATCTAAGAACTGAAATCTAGTATGGGTTTTTCTTGTTTGTGCTTGAGCTTCAAATATATGGGTGTAACGCCCTGTTTGAAATTACTCGGGTGGGGCCTCGGACACCAAGAGGGTAGGGGCGATTCGGTCTTTTATGGGTCCCGGGATTTATCCGAAAGGTTTTAGGCTTGGAGGTGTCAAGGGGAGCGTAGGTCTTCCCGCCACCTTCTCGTTAATATAAAGTTCGTTGGAAACGGACTTGGAATAAAGGAGTTATGCCACTTAGTATTTATTGTCGATTTTAGCCCCTAATGGAAAATTAGTGACAATATGATCCCATGCATGCAAGGTGGCCAGCTAGAGGGTACGCCCAATGTAGATGGAGAAATGGTCGCGGATGACTGGAGACGTATGCCCATTGTACTAGGAGTACGCACAGAGTTACTAAACCCCAAATTTTAGGGTGTAACACTATATAAAGAACATTACACCATCTAGAGTCAGCATCCTTCTCATCCTTAAACCCCTCTTCGAAACCCTAACCCTAATAGTGAGAGTGTAAGCTTGTAAGTCCATCTTGGAGTGAATTTTGGTGTTCTTGAAGTGGAGTGATCATCTGTCACACCCGCGAACCAGACGGCGGAAACGTCTAGGAGCTTGAGCGTGACTTCATTGTTGTAGTATCATTACAGAGTATATAATTGAAACATAACATCTTCATCATCACACATGTAATACAACAACATTCATTGTTTACATCGAGTATTGTATTTGAATATTACATGCTAAAATAGTCGGAGTATGATGAAACAAAATATAACACAATATCCATTAGTTTTTTTCGTTCAATTTGCTTCAACGGTTTCATGAAAATACAAGTTAATTTAAAAAGGTCAACATAAAAAATGTTGGTGAGTTCATAAGCATGTTTGTGAAAATGATTTGTATAACTTTGAAAACCACCAGAAAATCCTATATTTTTTGAAAACTGTTTCTTTGCTACTTTTGTACTAGACACCCCAACTGTAATGCCTGGAAGAAGGTTTTAACATGTTTATAAAAATTAAATATTTCTTGGATAGGTGGAACTTCAAGCGAAGAGCAACATTTGGGAAATTCTACTGATATAAAAGCGGCAGTCCATGATATTATGCTATGTCAACAACTATAACCAAATACATCCTTTTACTTGATTCCCCCTTTTTTGTTATCAGTCTACATTTTTTTGTTGATTCAAGAATAAATATAGGACATTATGATGCATAAAGTTGCACTCGATCAAAAGTATATACTATTGTGTTCTCATTGTGATAACCAAGTGGAAAGAATCATAAACTTAAGATGGTATTTTGTCAACTACAGAAACAACGGCTGCAGGCGAATCCCATGAAGGGAACTCATTGCACATGTACTGGAGTTTATATGTAAGGTTTTTCACTTTTGTGATACCATCAAAATTTAATATGGCCTTTGAAGTTTCAAATTTGAATGTAAGGGTCTTTATTATTACTATATTTTATGATTTTTAGCTTACTCGAATGGTAGAGAAGGATGTTGATTATACGGTCTACTTATTTAATAGGTAATACCTTTATGTCATGCAAG